TGACCAGTCCCCCTTTAAAGTCATGGTCGCCATTCGCCCCTCCCAGGCATCTGAGAGTGGTTGTTTCCCACCCTCCAGAACAACTGCCTGTCTTCTGCCCCTCTCAGCCCCCATCCCCCACTGATGATCTTGCCTCGTATTTTCTGCAAAAGCAGACAGGAACTTTGCCGTCTTCCCTCCATCAAATTCACCCACCTACATGGACCTAGATAGCCTTTCTCTCCTGTTCAAAAGATGAAGTGTCCTTTCCTCTACCAAAGGCTGAACTTCTATTTAGTCACAGGATCCCAGGCCTCTGACTTTCTCTGAGACTCTCTGTCTCTCTCTCTCTCTCATCATCGATGCCTCCCCCTGCACTGGCTCATTCCCACCAGCATACAAACATGCTCTCTATCTCCTGTCACTTCTGGGAGGCAGACCCTATAGAGAGGAGGCTCCTCCCGGGTCACACAAGCCTCCTCGCTCTAGCCCAGCATGCTGCCCCTTTCTACTTTTCAAGTTTTGGAAGGAGTTGCTGTTGTTGTTTTTTTCAAAACATCTAGGGTCCCTGTCTCCAGAGGTAGAAATCAGTTCTCCTTATTCCCAAGGTTCAAGTCATGTTTGTTGCACGACATCTGTTCCCAGGGACTGTGGGGAGACTGGTGTTGTCACCGTCTGGAGAACTGCAGAGATGAGTGGGAGGACCGCGCTGGGGCCTGAGAGCTGGATTCTTGAGAAAAGGTGTGAAATTAGTCAAACCGAGATTCGGAGATGAATCTTGCTGCAGTGAGCTGTAGGCTGCACAGGCCCTACGAATTGAGGGAATGCCCCCATCCTTCAGGCCAGGAAGCTGTGCGTGCTGATAGCAGTAGTGCCTTCCTGGCGATGCGATCTTGAGCAAGTTTCATAATGTCTCTAAACCCGTTTCTTCATCTGGAAATTGGGGAGAATAACTACCTCAAAGAGAATTCTGCTGTGAGTAGGAAATGAGATCACACGTGCCATGCTGTTTTATCTCGGCTTCTTCACTGGCCCAGGCAATCGTCAGACCTCAGAAGGTCCTGTTGTGAATTCTGCATCCGAGTGCTCCTTCCCGCAGAGGCTGTTTCTCCCACGTTGATCTATCCTGCTGCCACCTCGTCGTTTTGGCAGGAAACACCTTTACTAATGTCAAGAGAGACCTACCTAAAGACCTCAGGGCGAGGGAAAGAATATACCACAAACTACCAACTAAGGCTGCCAGAAGCCATTTAGTCTGCATGGATCTTCTTACAGGACGTAAAGGTGACTTGTATGCAATCACCCAGCGAGTTAGTCTCAGGGCTGTCTCCCAACTCTTGAGCCCTGGTCAAGGCTTGAGGGCCTTCCGAAAGCCATCAGCAAAATTTAGTGCAAATCCACTTCTTTTTACAACTAAGATCTTCAATATACTGTATCGTGATAGTTGATACAGAGTGAATTTTATTGTATGTAAATTTTAAAAGTGTGTGTGTGGTGGGGGGGGGGGGGGGGGGGGGGGTGGAGGGAACCACTTTCATAACACTGGCATCTCTCTCTTTTCCAAAAGCAGTTTTGCTTTCCACTTTGTAATGTTCCTTCCCATCTTTCCCTCCATCTCATGACCTGTGAGACACACAGGTAGTTATTATCATCCCCTTTCTCCAAGAAGTGTGAACGTCACGTAGACCCAGGTTCAAATCCCAGCTGTCACTCACCACCTGTGTTGTCTTGGGCAGGTTACTTAACCTCTCTGAGCCTCCTTTCCTCAACACTGAGTGAGCATGGCCATAACACCCTCCTCCCTGGGCTGTTGTGGGTATTACATTTAATGCAGCATTTCCCAAATGTCCCCAATGATGAGAATCCTCTGGGTACTTGTTAAAACACAGATTCCCGGGCCCCAGTCCAGAGCTACAGAACCAGAATTCCCAAGGGTGAGGGAGGCCTGGCAGTCTGACAAGCCCTAGGGATTCTTATCAGGGAAATTTGGGAAACATTAGGTTGACTCCTATAAAGCGCATAGTGTTGTGTCTGGCACTAAGCGAATATTTAGCGAGTACTTATGTGTTCAATCTTTGAAATGGGGATAATTACTGCCTGATAGGATTTTTATGAGAAAGAAGCAAAATGATGTGCAAGGCCCAACAGTAAGTTCTAAATCTGCGTTGGTGTCCTCACTCATTGTACTGGCCCCCACTCCCCTAGGCCTCCCTCATCCCAGCCCCATACCCACAGCAGGAAGTTCCTCATTTAAATTCCAGGGATCAAACCTCATTTTACCAATCTGTGTCCCAGGCCCTTCCTTGTACCAGTCACTCTGGTCAGAGTATGGAATATGCTGATTGGCCAGCACTAGGTCGCTTGCTCAGCCCAGGAACCAGATCGGGGACCGTCAGCCCCACCTGAACTTCAGGAAGGGGGATGGGCCATGTCCATGGGAGTCTCTGCAGTGGTTTTGCCAGACCAAGAGGAGAGGATGCCTGGCAGGCAACTCCACAGGCACCCCCGGCATCAGCTCCCAAGTCACAGGTGGCAGCCTAGAGGGCCTCAGTCAGCCTGATCAGCCTCAGACCTGCCCTCATCTGTCCAACCATCTCCAGACCTCTCCTTGCCCCAGTCAGCCCTGAGCCCAGCCTGCCACAGAGGCCTGTCCAAGGGCTGGTCCAGGGACTCAGGGACACCATTGTCCAAAGCTGCTTATAGGGACCCACTGTGGGAATCCTTCCAACCAGGAACAATGAGTCTCTGAACCAGGATAAAAACAGTCTTTGCAAGTCAGCAAATGAGACAAACCAAATTGCTTGTCTGCCTGGCTCTTTGAACACAGTGGATAAGAACAAGATCTCCAGTGTCAGACACAGGTTTGAAGCTTAGCTGCCACTTACTTGCTGGGCCAGTTGTCCAGCTTGTCTGAGCTTTGGTTTCCTCTGTGAAATCCGTGTGAGGAAGAGGGAGGCAATGGATATAAATTATGACAAGAGCAGGAGCTCATAATCTAGGATCAGCATCAGCCTCCTCCTCTCCAGGCACTAGTCTGCGTCAAGAAATGCCCTTCTCAGGGGTGACTAGCCTGACACTATTGGGGACCAAACCCACTATGAATATTTAAAAAACATAGGATGCACTCCAAAGCCACAGACAACACACGGATGTGCCGTGGCGCGCGCGGCATCCTGTCCACCCGAGGCTGGGCTGCTCCTCCTGGAAGACACTGCTGTGTACCTACTGACTCTCAACCGCTGGCCTCCCAGCAACTGGCGAGCCTCGGGAGACTTGGTGCAGAAGCCCAGGAGCGGGGCCTTGCAGTGTGACCTTGAGCACATCACTCACCCTCTCTGGGTTGTAGTTTCCTCTTTCGTGACATGAGAGGGGTGACTGGTGACTGGGGGATTTCAGCTCTCAAGGGTCCATAGGGCACTTGCTAGCGCTCAGTGGGGAAACCTCACTCACCAGGTGCACTGGGCAAGGTGAGCAACTGCTGTACACAGCTGGCTCATCCAGGTGTCTCGGAAGCAGGAGACACTCCAGTGTTAAGACGAGGGGGCTGGTTCTGGAACCACCCCTCCCTGGATTACTCCCGATGCTCTTCTCTGGCTGTATGGCCTGGGTAATGGCACCTACCTAAGGGGGCTGTGAGAATTCAGTAAGAATGAGATGCTGCGTGTAAAGCACAGTATCTGGCACACAGCCAGAGCTCAATACATGTCAGCCTCTCCCCTCTGGCTAGCTTCCTCCTCCTCCTTGCCATTCATGGCGAGGTTTGATAATAGTCCAGACCTGGGTTTCACCCCGGCTCCACCTCTTCTTACCTTCAAGTCACTGAGCCTCGGTTTTCCTCATCTATGAAACAGGTACAATGAGACTTTTACTCGAAGGCTGATGTGAATGTTCAGTATGATTGACAGACAGTTTGCCTCCCTCAGTCCCATCAGCATGGACCCAGTCATAGTCTATTTTAGCTTCCATTTTTATAGCAGCTATTTCCATATCTATGTGAGTCAACTGATCCTTAAAACCCCCAGAAAGGGAGCCAGGGCCAGAAAACCCAAGGCCAGGCCTGAGCGGCTCTCGATTTCACCCCACTCCCGTGTTCTTTCACCAGCTCTGGAGGCACAGAACATGCCTACCTCGTTCAGCCTCACGGCCCCCGTTTCCCACAGCACCCGGCCTCTGGGAGGCCACCGCCCATCCTACACAGTCAGGAGATATCTCCAAAGCGAAGTGCAGGAGTCCCAGGACACCACCCAGAGGGTGGGGTGAGGTTTCCCAATAGTGAGGTGCACCTCACCTACGGGAACTGCACAGGAGCCAGGGCTCACATGGGGTTCCAGGCTACAGGCTGAGGATGAAGACATGTGCCTATGTATAAACTACCACAGCACATTAGTATAACCCTTCTGGAAAACACAGCACCTTGCATGCGAGTGTTAGACATGTCAGCTTTGGGTGCCATGACACTACTTCTAAGCATTTGTTCTAAGAAATCCTCAAAACGTGTAACAGAATGTCCACTGTGGTGCTAAGCTGGAAATAACATCTAACCATTGGTTAGGATGGAACACATCAGAATAGTTAGTGGACCGCTACCTGTCCTTGTTAGATGTTTTTGAAGACCCGTTAGAGGTAGAGAAATGATCATAATAATGCTAAGTCAATAAGGAACAAATGTGTTCACACATTCCTGAGGCTCTCAAGCCTATGTTCTATTTTACAGTCTGAACAACAAAACAATGGAAGGTACTCAGAATAAGGTATGGTCCCAAGGTTGGCCTAACATTTTGGTGACTGTTTGGTTTTTTTTTATCTTTTTCTCTTTACACTTCTCCCCCCTCCAACATGAAGCTTTTCATGAAGAAAGCACACCGCTGCGTCTTGCTTTGAGACCAAAGTGTCAAAACGTAGTATCGGGTTACACATCCCATGAGAAGAGCTATGTTGTCAAGGAGCCCTGTCGGCGAGCAGGTGGTGTGGAATGCATCTTAGATCAATGGCCTGTTGGACTCAAAGAAGCCATCCCAAAAAAATTGTATAAAAAGATTTATTGAAATTTATCAATGACAAACAGACATAAAACTCAAAGTTTGGCTCTTCTGAGGGGGAGGAAAGGAACTGGTGCAGATGCTCTTTTGTACAGATGAAACACGGGCCAGGAAACACGTCACTTCTAAAGCAATCCAGAAGAGGACAATGAAAGCAAACCTGTACATTCACTAGGAATTTGCAGTCATTTCAGATTCCCACTAGGTAAGAAAATACAATTTTGCGCTAGTTTGTCCGTGCTCGGGCGTATGAAAACAAACAAACAAACCCAGCCGACATGCAGCAACATCTCCTGCACTTAGGTTTGTAAAAATGGTCTAAGCACAGGAGTACATGTGGAAGAATTCTCTTGTCATTTTGTAAAACAAAGCGTTCTAATATTTTACAGAACAAGAGAGGGGAGTTTTTAAAAAATCTTTTAAGAGGTTAACGGTTAAGGGTTTGCTTCTTCTCTTTTCATTCTAACCACCAAATCCATTTTACTCATGAGCCTGCTGTTTTCAGCTCTCTGGCTCATAGCTCCTACTCCTAAGAGTGACATCAGAGTCTTCTTCGTAGAACGAAGCCCACCACCATCTGTGAAGAGGGAAAGGGAATGAGATGGGGACTGTCCCCAACCAGTGCCAAAATACGCCTTTAGGTTGCTATTTAAAACCAGGGCGGGCGTTGGATGTCTCTAACAGGCCCAAGAAATGCAGAAACCACGTGAACCAGAACAAGAGGTAAGATGTGGCTGGTGCTCAGTTGCTCCTGGGCTTTGAGAAACCAAACTGAGGCAGCCTCGGCCTTCCAACCAACTCAAGAGACTCAGGAGATACCAGGAAATGTGAGAGACCTCCAAACCATCCTCTCTGAGGGCATGGAACAAATGCTCACTTGGTGTGTACTCAGCTATTGCAATTACAGGGACAAAAACAGACACACAAAAAGTAGGGGGAAAAATAAAGAGTGGCAGTAAAAATAGTATTTTATTCCACCCCAAAACTCTCCCCACAACCCCCAGTACACTTTTCCCCTCTCGTTCCCACAGCAACGTTACAATCAGAAAAAAATAAGTTTCGGGGGTCAGGATTTGGGGGGTACGGGTAAAAACAGTCAAATCACAATAGGAATTTTTCAAAATAGGTATCCACTTAGTCATCTTCTTCTCCTTCATCTTCAGGTTCTCGTTTTCGCTTCTGACCCTTTTCTTCTTCTGGAAGAGTAAGGAAAAGGCATTCAGATTAAAGAGTGGCCCTACCTCTGATTTACACCCCCCGCCGCCCCCCCACCACCACCACTGAAGCCAGGAGACCAGACATCTAGGAAGCTTTGCCCTCCTGGCAACTGAGCCAGGACATCTGCAAAGCCAGGCAGGCACCTGCAGCCTCAGATGGGCATGTTCTGCCCATTGCCAGGTCCCTGGGGTCTACACAATCTACTGTCAACTGAAGGGGCTAGCTGCTACCAGCCGAGAGTACAAAGGCTGCCATACCACCAGCAGCAGCCTCTTCTTCATCTTCCTCATCGTCTACTTCCCAGTCGTTATAATCTTCTTCATCCTCCTAGGAGAGAAGATGTGTGCCGTCATCATAGTGCCCCGGGCCACGGACCTGCCGAGGAAGCCACTTTCCCCAGCACTGATCTCAAAAAAGGCAGGTCATCCCCAGCCTCTCAGAGCCCCATGCAAGGACATTCTTTCCCATCACAGACCCCTCTTAAGATTCTATGGAAAGCTTTAAACTCCTCCCCAGAAAACACCCCTATCACATACAATACTTGCAAACAATGTCAGGGGGGTGTGGTTCCTACCCCAGGTCAAGAGCTCCTGAGCTGAAGTCCCTACAACTCAGGCAGCATTCTAATCCAATGCGCTGCTCTCTTAGGAGAACAGGTTCCCAAGCAGACTCTCTGCCATGGAAAGTAGGCCATCCTTCCATCTGTCCTCAATCTAGTGCTGGCTTCAAGGAAGACCCCAGTTCCAGCAAACACAGATTCTGTGGGCAAGTCCAACCTCACCCCACACAGCCCAGCACCATCTTGCAAACTTGGACCACTTGGAGGGGAGAATAAATTCAACTGAGGGCATCATCCCAGCTTGGTAAGATCCATCCAGATGTGTGACTTCATCCTCAACACAGGACCCTTGCTTTATGTTGCTCCCGTGTTACATGCTAGTTAAATCTCTGCCTGTTGAACACTGTTCCTAAAGCATCAGGCAAGCCATTGTTTAAAAAGAACTTGGTGATAGACTTCTTTTTGTCAAGGGAAATACCCTTTTATTTCACAAAAGAATTCCTTAATCAGTCTGTTTGCTGAGACTGGTGTGTGTGTGTGTGTGTATGTGTAAGCTCTCCTTTACTGAAAGCTGGAAATCTGCAGATGGTCAATGAGATCACACACACACACATACACACACACCCCAACCCTGCACGCTGCAGCTTCTGTGGCAGGAAGAACAAGACAAAGAAGCCCATTAGTCAACACGACTTACTGCCCTGTCCTGGGAGGGGGGGAGGCCTGTTTTCCTAAGGGTTCAGAGGTGAGCCTAGCAGCCTACACTCAGGGAGAAGAGCAACTGCACCGAGACCAGGCAGGAACCAAGCCCATCGACCAGCTCTCCTCCCCGCCTGGACCTGCTGCCTCTCCCAAGCCTGGGCTGTGCCGGCTGGGAGATCCTGCCCAGGTGGGTGTGCTCGGCAGGTGGGTGTCTGTGTGCTCAATCAGGAGACAGAAAACCGGGAGAAACCAGGAGCCTTGTCCATGCTGTCATCATTTTAAACCTCCCCACGTCTAACTTTTATAATCAGCAAGAGCTGATGCAGAATTTTGAACAAATCATGGAAAATGACTCTGCTCTAGGGAGATTCAGAACACCCGATACAAAACCCAGCACGCTGAGCCGGCATCTTGGAGAAGGAAGGGTGTGAAAGCCTAAAATAGCAAGTGGTCAAACACCCTAGTCAGACACTGTCCTTAAGCATTTTACTCATAAATTAGTTTATCCTCTTGACAATGTAGTGAGTTGATCCCTATTTACAATCCAGATGGCTATTTCACAGATGAAGAAATAGGCCCAGAAAGGTCAAGGAATTTGTCCAGGGACACACAGCCAAATCTCTGTGCTATGTTACCACTCACAGACACATGACAGACTTACCAAAAAACTAGGAACCAGGCAATGTGTGAAGAAAACGGCACTACTCCCACTGTGTGCGTGCACTAGACCCTTGTCACTGTGACTTGGGATCCAGCAGTGTCTTTCATTATCCATCAGTTCAGGGCAGTCTTTGATTTTCCCTAATACACTGTGAGTGCTCAGTGAATTAACATATGGATGCAGGAGGGCAGGACATGGGGACATGGTTGCAGTAAGAACTAATTTCACACAGAAACGAGGGCCAGGCTTACCCCAGCAGGTGAGGTGCTCTCTTTACCTGCCTCCAGAATCCGCTCTCGCCCGCTCCTCATCCACCTCCCCAGGGCTTGCTGCAAGTCTGGCCTCGTTCAAACCAGCCCAATAAAGGGCCCTGAAATGGACTCATTTCCCCAACCAGGGCTCCTGGGCTTCCCAAGGTTACTGAGGCATTTCCTGGGACTGACCCAAAGGCAGCAAGTAAGAGGGGCTCAGGGAGATGGTACCCCACCCAGCCAGGCACTGACCTCTTCCTCTCCACTCACATCCTCCTCTTCACCTTCTTCCTCCTCTTCTTCATCCTCTTCATCTTCCACTAGATGAGCATCCTCATCATACTCTTCCTCTGTGCAGTGGAATGGGGACAAGAACGAATTGGTGGTGAGCTGGCTCCTCCCTTGCACAGCACAGGCCCCAGGCTGGCGGGCCCGGCAGGGGTGGTAAGGTCCTCAGTGTGGGGCCTATGACCTCACACCCCACCAAGGCCCAAAGCCTAGATGCCTGAAGGTGACAGAACACATCCTAAAATGATCTAAAAGCACTTGAAGTGGTGTGAGCGACAAGCCCTCCTCCCCTAGCTGTACAAAAATGAGAGATCTTTTGTGGAGGTTGAGACCATGGAGAAATGGAGGGATCAGAGGAACAGTTATGAATTAATTTCTCAGCCCGGGAAAGCTGATAAATTAATTCTTTGAGAAAGAGCATCCAGCCAAACTGCTCACTTTAAAGCAAGGGTGGGGTACATCAGCCTATGGGCTGTCTAAGGCCCCGAAATATTTGGTCTGGCCCTGCCAAGGCATTAGGGGTGAGTTAATTGTTTGACCAAATACAGCAGACTAATTTTTAAGTTGATAATTCTGTATGGCCCTCAAATGATGTCATAAATATCCAAATGGCCCTTGGCAGAAAAAAAGTTCCCCACCCCCACCAGAAATCTAAGGCAGAGGGGAGAAGTGACTTGTTCAAGGTCACACATCAAATTCGTTTGTGCCTAGAAACCTGGTCTCAGGACTCCAGTCCTGGGCCCTTTATGTTGTGTCACAAAGTGCATGAATATCTTGCAAAATACTCCCATCTAACAAGGAAAACCAAAATCTTGGGTCTGAATTAACCAGGCAAGTATCTCCATTCTCAACTGTACTCTGGCCATGAAGACCCATGGAAAAGCCACACTGTGCTGGTGACGAGGGAAGGTAAGAGAAGGCACCCTTTCCTTTCCCTCCCTGCAACCCTGGCTGCTCGCCACCCTGCCAGGGAGCCCACCATGCTACCTGCAGCCTCTACTTGCCTGGGTCCCTGGGGCTCCCAAGTTCACACCCCCGAGTCCTGGACTGTGGTTCTCTGGGCTGCAGCCACCAGGGGGCCCCACAACCTCTCCAGCTCCATGACTGGACACCTCAGACCATACCCCACTTTCCTCTATCTGCTCACCCCTCCCTGGGACAGTGTCTGAGTCTAGAGTCATTTCCAGTGGGACTTTGGAAAGGGGGAAAAACAACAACAACAAAAAACAACTGAGGCTTCTGCTAGATGGTCTTTAAAAAGTTACTATATAGTCAGAGTCTGAAGATGTTTCTCAGGCTCACGCACAGTTCTTTTAGGGGAGTCAACCAATGGCCCAGATTAGGGACACCGGTAAGCACAGCAGAGAGCCCTACTCTCTCCATAGCTTTGGAAGGAGGTTGACAGTCCCACCCCTCAGCAGCCAGGGGGGCCTCCCAACACCCAGGCCACCCCTCTGTAAAGTAGGGAGGAACCGGGCCTGCCCTGGCCTTCCCTCGGCCACCCACCATCCTCATCCTCCTCGTCCTCCTCCTCCAGGCCCTCTACGTAGCCCTCGGCGTCGGAATCAGGGGCCTCCTTGTCGTCCCGGTCATAGCCATCGAGATATGTAAGTTGTGGGAGGAGCTTGAACACGTTTTCTCGGTAGTCGTTCAGGTTGGTTACCTCACAATTGAAAAGGTCTAAGCTCTTGAGGTTTTCTAACTTTTTCTGCAAGCAGAAAAATAAAGTCAGCAGTGAGTGACCTGTGGGAGGCAGGAGAGGAGGGGACAGGTGGGGAGAGGGGAAACCACCCAGGGGAACAGGTGGGGATGAAGTGAGACAGTGTGAAGAGCAAAGGCCACAGGGGGTAAAGAATTCTGATTTGGTCTTGCTTGGCCCCAATGTCCACCCAAACACATCACCCCTGGGGGATGGGCCTCAGTTTCTTCACCTGGAAAATGAAGGGTTGGATTTTATCGTTAAAATCTCATCCAATGCCCACAATTTTATTCTGCTTGAAATTAAGGTGGGGCTCTCTTGGTGCATGAGACAAGAGCTGTGCTGCCTGCCCCTGTGACGAGGGGCCAGACGGGAACTAACATGGCAGCATGAGCCAACATACTAACCCCTGCTGCTAGAATAATAAGAGTCAACACAGCACTTGTGTATTAACTCAGTTTGTCCTCAGAACCCTGATAAGGTAGAAATAATTATTCACTTGTTTTCCAGATGAAGAAATAGAGAACTGGGGTTTGGCAGCCCCACTTCCCCCCTGTGCATACTCTCCACCATGCTGCCTGTCAAGAAGGACAAGAGAAAAACTGGCATAGGATCCGGATTTTGTTCATGGCACTTAACATGAATACATTTGCTTTGGCAAAGCTTTATCTAAGAGGGTTTAAGCTCATATATTCCTGCTTGGTGTCTGAGGAAACGGAGGCCCAGGAAGTGGAAGGGTCACACAGATAGCAAGAATACCCTGCCCCAGGCCAAGCCCCTGCTCCCGTGGGGCCAGGCCTAACAGGTGACTAAAGCCACTGTCCCCCACGGTCAATGTGAGGAACCAGGTTGCTCTCTCAAGAGCTTACGATAGAGACCTGATCATTCTCAGCCGAGGGTCAAAGTGCAGGGAGGGAATCTGGGCTGTGGTTTGGGTAGGTGAGCCCAGCACCCCCAACCAAAGCAGTTGCCCACCCTTTAGTGGTGAGTGTAACCCATCGGTCACACTGATCACTAGGAAAAGGAAGCTACAAAAACGTGTGGTCTGGGTGGGAGGAGCATGGTGTGTGTGTGTGTGTGTGTGTGTGTGTGTGTGTGTGTTTATATCTGATCTCTAACAATGATTGATTCACAGTGTTTTATACACTTGGTCCCTCACCTCCCAAACACACAGATAGACCTCCACACATTTTTCCTTTTGTAATGAAATCAAGACTTTCAGATATACAAAATTGTTTTGCTTTCCGATCAGGAGGACTTGACAAGAAGTTCCATGGGAAGGCCATTCTAGTGGGTGACCCCATGCCACAGATGGGCAGAAAATGTCTAGCTTCCCGTTCTGCCACCGGGGCCATCCACCAGCCCCCCGAGCACCCACAGAGAGCAAAGAGTGCTTTTTGGACAAGAACCTACAAACCCAACTGAGGAATGCTCCAACCTCCACCCTCAGGAAAGGGAAAGTGACAAAAGACCCTCAGGGCTTTTCCCTGATTCTAAGTTGCATGGCGTATGAAGTGACTCTCAGGTGTATATTTACAATCAGCGTGTTTATTTTGTGTGGTAGTATTTCTATCTTTCAAAAAAATCTACTAATGAACCAATGACACATCTTACAGTTGACCTCCTTTAAAAAAAAATCAAGATAATTCAGTCATTCAGATCCTGCTTATGTAAAAATTGATATCCTGACCAGGACTTGCCCGTTCCGGCTAGTAAGAATGTTTGGGGTGTGTTCAGCTCCAGGAAGACAGCAGAGGAAGGCCGGCACGAGGCTCCCAGACCACAGTTCTCTGCCATCCCAGACGGCTTGTGTGGGGGCCAACCCGCTTGTGTCGGGGCCAACCCATCTCTCACCCTTCAGAGGCACCAGCCTGGGGCCAGTGACCGAGGAGAAAACAGATTTGCCTCCTCTGGGATCAGCCTAATTCTTGGATGGATCCTCCCTCCCCAAAGATGGGCCAGGAGCTTGAAGAAATGTCAGCTCCAGTTTCCAAAATGAAGCAGACACTGCATGAGGAAAAGCACGAGGCCAGAAGCTGAGACTAGGGCAGTGATGGCGAACCTATGACACGCGTGTCAGGTGACACGCGAACTCATTTTTTTGGTTGATTTTTCTTTGTTAAATGGCATTTAAACATATAAAATAAATATCAAAAATATAAGTCTTTGTTTTACTATGGTTGCAAATATCAAAAAATTTCTATATGTGACACGGCACCAGAATTAAGTTAGGGTTTTTCAAAATGCTGACACGCCGAGCTCAAAAGGGTCCTGGTCTTCACCCAGACTGCCAGCCTGGCTGTGTGACCTGGGCCCAGTCACTTAACTTCTCTAGGTCTCAGTTTCTTGACGGATGAAGCAGAAATAGTTGCTCAAACTCTATCTCACAGTACATAGTGAGAATCAAATGAAGTAAAATAAATGGGGGGGAGACGTTATACAAAAGCAGCATCCCCTGCTATCAGTCCCGCCCTCCGCCCGCCCTGTGGAGAGGGAAGGACCCAATGACTCACCAGTGGCTCTATTGTGCTGAGGTCTTTAATTTTGTTGCCACTTAAGTTTAGATGCTTGAGGTTCGGACACTTTTCTGCCAATACTTCCAGGCCCCCTGAGATTCTGTTATCGCTTAGTTCAAGCTAAACAAGGCAGGGAAATAAAAAGCAGAAACAGCTCTTAAAATGAAGGCTCTATGCTCAGAGCCTTGCAGACAGCGGGGCAGGCAGCTGGATACACCCTCAATTATGCTCCCTAAACATGAAGTGGAGGCCATTCCTCCTCCCCACCCCCACCGCCTGCTTGAGGGCGCACGTGCACGTATGTACACACACACACACACACACACACACACACACACACACACACACACATTCCTCTACACTCTATTTACCTTCTTAAGTTTGTTTAACTTTGGTAAGTTTGCGACTGAGGTGAGGCCTACGTTGATTGTACTTAAGAACTCCAGTTCTTCAAATTCATCTGTGAGGCCTTCGATTTTGCCTTCACAAGACCGACAGTTGTCCAGGACAAGCTCTTTCACCTGGAAAGGGAAGGACTGTGTGAATGGAGGAAGGAACGGGGCCGAGGCAGAAAGGTGTCAGGCCTCCTTGGAGGACAGGGAGACAAAGCCAGGAAGCAGTCCCTCGTTAAAAACAGCACTGCACATGCCCACCCTGGTCTTTCTACCCGGGGGGCTCAGGTTGAGGTGAGCGGAGCTGCAGAACCAGGGGCCACTCCAGACAGGACGCACGGCTGAACGGCAGAAGATAAATTCAGTAAGCCCTGCTGCATCGGCAACACTGGTGGTCTCATTCCAACCCTACCATGCACCGCCACAGCCTCCAGATCCTCGCTCTAACGTCAGGGGACCTCTGAGCCTCACCCCACACCCATATGGCCCCAGCCTGACCGGCCTGAGGCCAGCTCCCTACTTCCCCTCCTCAGCCCCTGTGTTCCCTTCCCCTCCATGTGTCTGTGACCTTCTTCCTGCTGGCGTACCCTCCCTCTCTTGCTCTCACACCGCTCTTGCCACCAGTCATAACCTGCCCACCTGGCCTGGAATTTGTCACCATGGTCACTGCTTGGCCTACCCCAGGGTAGGGAGAGACAATTACCGGGCTCCTCCAACTCTCCATTCGCTAGACCACTGCTGTCCCACAGAACTTCCTGCGGCCAGGGAAACCCTGCGCTGTCCAAGAGGGAAACCACTAGCCATTGGTGGCCACTGTGCACCTGCAATGTGGCTGGTGAGACCGAAGAAGGAGTTTTAAATTTAATTTAATTTTAATTAATATTAAGAGACATGTAAGCTACCATATCGGATATCTCAGCTCTCGGCTTTGCCCTTTGGGGACCTGAGTAGATGTGGAAGGAGAGAATGGAAATCCACAAGCCAGGATGGACCCATAACGAAATGCTGAGGGCAACCAAGTCCAAAAGCTGGTCTTTGGAGGCACTTCTATGGCTCTGCCCCCTGCCCAACTCTCTGGAAGCAGTTTGCCCTATTAGGGGTCTTAGATTCTCCTCTCTTGGGCCCCAAATCCTTTGTTTCTAATGAGGCAGAAAGAACTGATAAAAAAGCCACCCTCTCATTAGGTTGTTAGAAGGCAGACTTGGCTGACGCTGGAGGCCAGGCTTTCGGACACTAGCTGAGAAGAGCGATCATGTCTCAAGCCTGAACTGACCCAGGGAGTCAACCAGGGCAGCCGGGGTGCTGGCCCTCCAGGCAGACGCCCAGTTACCCACTCGGGTCCCTGACAGGCTGACAGGCCCTGGACCCCCAGGGCTGACAGGCACCTTACAGATGATTCCTCCTGGCCGCACCTGGGCCTGACACAGCACCCTGCCTGCTCCCTGCAGCCCCCAGGAAACACGCACTGCTGCCGCCTGGCCATGCCGGCCCTAGGACTTCCACCCCCAGGCCTGACTTCTCACCCCTGGGTCACACAGATAGGCCCGTCCTTCTCAGCAGCAGCCTTACAATGTCCAAAGGGTCATTGCTGCCCCTCAGAGCCTCTTCTTCTCAGGGATAAGCAGTCGGACCCTCTAATCTGCCTGCCAGGCTGCCCCATGCTTCCCTGCAGCAGTTTGCATAGCTCTTCCCTGCAGGGCCCAGGATGACCATCTTGCCAAGGTCCTCCAGGTGCCCCTCCGATTGGGGCATCTCTGGGTCAAATGCCAACTTGGGGGAACAGACCCACAGCAGGCCTGCCGTGCCCCTCCTCAGGCTACCCTTGCCTGTGAGCAGACTAGGGGAGCTCAGGGCACATCAGTGCTCTCTTCCTCCCTGCTGGAGCGATGCACACGGCTCAGCCCAGAACGGTGGCAATTTGCAAGGAGGGGCCGAGCACAGCACAGCATTAACCCCTCACGGCTAGGAAGCTCTGGGCCTAGGCACTGGCGCCAAGGCCCACCTTTCCTGGGGCCTTTCCTGTCCTTTCCCACTCTCTCAGTCCCCAGGAGAGGCCAGATGTCCAGGTCAAGTCACCTTCTCAAGGTCAGTGGCAAGAATGCCTGGGAATAAGTTCTACCCTAGGGCAGGAAATCAGTGTAGAGCCAGGAAGCCAGGCCTCAGGGGAGCAGAGCAAAGCAGAGCAGATGGAGGGAGAGCAACTGTACTGGGGGAGGGAGGACCCTCCTTCAGTCTGTAGTAAACGCCGGAGTCACAGGGCCCACCATCTTCTTTAGTTACTGTTTCCTTGGAAGGTCTTGGGAGTTCTGTAACCTCCACCAAAGAAAGACAAATATGAGAACGGATTCCAATCCACCCTCAACGATTTCAGACATGCGATTTCTCTAACCGGGTCAACGCCTTCTCCTCTTAAGGCCATTAGCCAAGGAGAAGGCCCCAGAGCTGGGGGGAGGTGGTGCTGGAGAGTCAAGGGAATTCCTCCTGGAAGTCGACCTCTTTCCCGGAGCAGCACAGTGCTGCCTGGGAATTCTACAGACAGAGGCTCCAGCTCCAGCACCACACCAAACTGGTGGCCATTCCTCTCCGGAACAATATGCAAGTAAGTGCTACTATTACTACTGTGTTATTAATAACAATCCTGGGCTCTTTCCTGAGCCCTCAGCAGGCACCCTCTAAGTGCTAGACCCACAATGGCTCCACAGGGCATTCTCCCGTTTCTCAAGGGCAGGAGTGGTCACAGGAGGGTGTCTGCTGGGCCTGGTGGTCAGTGTTGGCTCCCGATGATTTCTGACATTCTCATATATAGGGCACAGGCGCTCCCAGAGCCCCAACTCAATCGAACAAGCTGCCCTGGCAGCCACCTGCTCCCCTTCTACCCCTCTTTTAACTGTTCCACCGGCCGGGTGGGGGCCACTCCCAGCAGTCCCCACCCTGGTTACACTTCCTCAGTAACCAAAGTACAAAACAACCCAGCCCTCGCTCAGATGAGGCTGAAGTCAGGGAGCACCGATCTGGCGAGGGGCTGGGGCACCCCACTCTCCCCAGGGAGCAAGAGGCTGCTTCGTCACTGGCAAGGGAGGCCTGTGGTGTCTGGGGGCCAGGTCTGTGGGGTTTGTAGGTCTGTGGGGCGTGCAGGATCCCCGGGGTTTCTGCATTTCCTTCCTGTTGGGGGTTTCAACACTCTTTGGGGTGAGATTAAAGAGGAGGGGCAAGTCTAGGCTTAGACCCCAGGGTGCTAATTTCACCAAAATGTACAAACCACACTGGGGGAAACCCCTTCTTTGTGGGTCGATGGGGATGGCAGGTAAGCTGCCTGTGAAAAGTCTGAAATGGATCAAACAGGAAAAAACAAAAATGCCAGCCCAACAGCGGAAGTCAGTGGGCCCACCCCTACCTCGGACGAGGACCACACTTCTTAGAGCTCCCGAATAGGAACAGGCTATCTATCCACACCTCCAACGCGCCCCAGCGTTCCTTAAACCACTTTGAACTGCTGCAATTGCCACCCGCTTCCTCCCATCTCTGCTTGGTGACCATGCTCTAAACCAGCAGTTCTCAACCTGTGGGTCGAGACCCCTTTGGGGGTCGAACGACCCTTTCACAGGGGTTGCCTAAGACCATCGCAAAACACATATATAATTACATATTGTTTTTGTGATTAATCACTATGCTTTAATTATGTCCAATTTGTAACAATGAAAATACATCCTGCATATCAGATATTTACATTACAATTCATAACAGTAGCAAAATTACAGTTATGAAGTAGCAACGAAAATAATTTTATGGTTGGGGGTCACCACAACACGAGGAACTGTATTAAAGGGTCGCGGCATTAGGAAGGTTGAGAACCACTGCTCTAAACCCTTCCAGGTGAAGAGAGCATCCCTGACATTCCAGGGAGTGTTCTCCTTAAAAAAAAAAACAACAAAAAAATTAAGGCCTCTTTCCTCCTGCCAAATCCTGGGTGTGAGCTAAGTGCAAAGTTAAAATTAAACCGGAAATTTGTACTTTGGGTTTAGACTCTCTCCCAACTCCACTGGCTGTTTAAAAATATCCGAATGTGGTTACTCTCTTTCTAGTTCAACAGCTGGGACGACACTGCGTGTATCAGGAGCTCTTCAGACACACCAGTGACAAACCTACAAACCTACACAGGACCCTCTGCCTCATGCCTCAAGTGCTGACACCCCAGAGAAGCCTGAATAGCCACACTCGGCCCCAAAGAGATGTGAGTGGAGCACTAAGAAGTTCCCTAGAAGTCAGACTGCCCGGCCCCGGTATTTCCTGAAAAACATGTCCACAAAGCAAGAGCGCAGTGGCCATTTCTCACCACCGAGAGCTGTGAGGTCCATGATCAACATGAACACATTATTACTGAGGAACCCACTGGTTGTTCCAAAACTGTGCAATCGTGTCTTTACAGTGGCTCCAATTTGGCCATTCCTCTGTGTTCCCAACACTGCAGCCTGGTCCTGGCCAGTCACGTAAGTCACGCTGAGCCTGCTCTGCTTCCCAAGGGGCCTCTGTGACAGCAGGGACATTGGACTCCTGGGAATAGGCCCTGACTGGAGGCCAAGGACCCTGCTGACGGGCTGAATGAACCCTGATGTATCCCTGAGATGTTGGGCTCAGCCTCTGCAGAAAGGGGATGATATTTGTTAACCTATAAAATGCAAGCTCTCGCCTAGAAAACATTCCCAGTTTGTGGCCACCGCCTGGGGGGAGGGGGAATTCAAGTCCCTAAACTAACCTGGAGGCCCTCCACTCTGGATCTCCCCCTACATCCTCCAATCTCATTGCTCCCCGCTCTCATCCTTGCACAAGGCCCCCCTCCCCAGGAGGCCTTCCCCTGCGTCCAGCTCTGAGCATCCCGGGGCACCAAAGGCAGCTGCTGCATGAATCATTTAATCGTGTATTAAGCATTCGAGCCTCCTAGAGGTCAGGGACTGTCCTTCTCCATAATCAGCCTAGCGGGGTGTGGACACCAGAGCAACTGCTTAACAAATGTCCTGTCTATCGTGCCAGGCACAACAGTAGGTGCGGGGCACACAGAGTAAGTCAAGCCATGAAATTTACAATGTAACTGGTCCAAGACAAGTTGAATCAACACCCTCCCTCTGTAAACA